TCAATTGTAATTGTGTATTTAACAATTATTTGCCGATGGCGAGGTGATTATCGGGGAATATTCGCAGAGAGGAAGATTTGACCAATCAACATGTAGGATTTGTTATGTTCACTTGTACAAAAATACTAAACTATCTTATTATGTCATACCTCAATATTGAGAAAAATATAGGTTTACTAGAAATAAGGAACATGAAGGAATTCTATGAAACAATATTTGAATTTTGTTTTCACTGGATTGTAAATCTGAATTTATATCAGTATTCATGCACTATTCAATAATAGTAGTACGCCCTTGTTTTCCACATGTATCATAATCATGATAACAGACAGTCGTATATATAGCGGTGCCACATGATACAAATTTTTATGTTATGATTGTTGTATTTACGCTCTAATTGTGATGTTTGTCACGATTTTTGAAATTTCTCGAGTTTCAATCTTGATATCTTGCTTTTCCTTAAAAATTTCCTGTGAGATTAGACAAATTTCCTGGCAGCATGCTGCCGGACTTTCTCATGCCTTGAGTTTCACACTCATGTTACTATCTCATTTTGTCTCTACTTTATTTTTGTTTTTGCAATTGCCTTTCCAAATAAAAAAATGGATATGATAAGGACTTTAGCACCCCCTTTCCTAAAGCACCCCTCACCCGGTAACTCAGAGGAGTTACAGACAAAGAGCTGCTTATTCTAACACAAGAAAACTACAACAATTACTTTTGCTCAAAATTGTCGCAAGCAACCTACCTGCATGCTTACAACTTGAGTTGTACTGTGTAAATCAAGCATACAACTCGCGAGCGAGTTATGTGCTTGATTTATACAGTATACAACTGAAGTTATAAGCAGGTTGTTTTATGCAAAGGTTGTGTAGTGTAAATCGGCCTTTAGGAAGTATAAATAATATACTATCTCTTTGAAAAGTTAAATTAAAAGTACCGACGGTTACGCTATGTTTTAACCAAGAGCATGGCAGATTGGCAAAACGTTTATCTAAACTTCTAAACATGTAGTCTTCATACCTCATCTCCAATAAAGAAATCATCTGGTAGCTGAGGTAGGTTCAGAACATTCTTAGTTTGTTGAATCAATGGATGGGCCTAGAAAATATATTATATTAGTATATATATTATGAGCCTATAGAAAATATTTTTTATATTATTAGAAAATATATATGAGAAGTAAATTATGTATTGTGCTTTCGTATATAGCCATTTATGCCCCAAATAATTGTAATACGTTCATTCTCAGCAAAACGAACATGACCAATATCAAATCGCGTTATTTTGCTTGAGACTGATTTGCTCCCTTCTCTTCACTCATCGCTCCATTCTATATTTTACCAACCTTTTCTCTCTCCACGATTTCAAGCTCCTCTTCATATTTTTCAAATTTCTTTGCAAATTCGACCACCATGGCCGTCTGTACATCCAAAAGCCTAGAAAAAATAAACATTAATAAATTCTTAGAGCTTACTTCGAAAATATGGGGGGGGGAGCGGATGGCTATAAAATCCAACCACCTTTGGCAGTTGGAAATCGTAGGCCTCCTCGTTCACACCAGCCCGGTTGATAAATCAACCCGGGTGGGGCTTGTTTTTTAAAACCACGTTTAATACATGACATGAGCCAGCTTAATCGCGTTTACATGAGCCAATTACGTCAGCTTAAGCTAACCCGAACTTCGTTTACCATATCAAATGTTGCATTTACCATATCAAATATTGCATTGCGAGTATTAGAATTTCTGGAGACCACAACGCAAGGAAAAGCATTATTTTCACGATAAATATCTTTAATTTAGTCATTTGAACATATTGGGGGAACGTTGAATTTTGTCGCAAGACATTTAAAATGACATTCGATTTTCGTTTCATTTGAATGTGTCTACATTTATGTACCCGCGGGTTGGCATAATTTTCACGTCGTTACACCTCGGTGCCAATCCGGGTCTCGAGAAGGGTGCCCCGAGTTGGAGAAGTGTGAAAGGGTTGACCCGGCTATCGTGTAAACGCTAATATAAATTTATTAGTAGACGCGTTGACCAGGATTGGCAGGCCAACCCGAGTTGATAGACAACCCGGACTCGTGTAAACGGGGCCTTATAATTCGCTAAACTAGTTCGCCCTAACAAATGCTTTCTTAGTTGAAAAATTATAGCAGAGCTGCACAGTTTGTTATGCAGCCAATGCTATAATTCTCACATATTCTCGAACGACAATTTGGGAAATAGAGACCGTTCATTATTTACATCTGTTACCAAAGATTACAGGAACTGAAAACAGCATAACAGTTTTCCATCCTTTTTTAACAGTGCTTTATCATTTTTACCCAACTATCCAGTATATTACTGCACCAACACTATCCTGTAAATATTCTACAGGGTGTCCCCAAAAATGTACTAGCTATGTTCCAGAATTTTTTACACAGCTAATTATTCGAAAATTTAAAAAATTGTAGCAATGAATATGAAATATACAGTATATATCTATATGTTTTGTCATCTAGTTGAATCTACAATCCACCAATTATAAATGAAAAAATAACACAAAAGTACAGTAGGTCAACTTTTTATAGTATATAGGCAGCTGGCAGCTCAAGCTGCGACTGTATTCTAGACCTGGAATATTCTTGAGGTTTCCCTTAAAATGTAACAAATCGATCTTTGTGCGTCACAATGGATGGCTAATAATTGATATATAGACAAGGATTTTCTAGCTCATTGGCGGATACTCCGCAAAATCATGGGGGCGGAGCACTGAGTTATAATATTAGACAGATTTAGATCGAGGACGCGGACGTCAAAGACGACGTGAAAATGGCGTGGCATATCCATACATGGGCACAACACGCCATTTTCACGTCGTCTTTGACGTCCGCGTCCTCAATCTAAATCTGTCTATTACTGGAGGAAGTGCTCGGCATAAAAAGTATCCGCAAATACATGGCGGATTTTCGCAGTCCAATTCGCACCATATGACGCCACTTCCATGACAGCTGGTTCCTCAGGCTCATGGAATTACCACTGACCAAGCTCAATTCTGGGTCCGCTACAATATACACACACCCCTGGTTTTAGCTTTTTGGAGTTTTTGGAGTAAATTCTCGTTGTTTTCTTCTAGATTTTTTCGACTATTGATCATTTGTTCAAAGATTTGAAAGTCGTGCATCTTATTCGAAATCTCATCCGCAAACGACAACAAACCTGAAACCAATACAAAAACCTCGAGAACATTTTCTGTTCATAGCGATAGTTCTTGACATAATGTATTTATGCATTTCCATCGAAATGGCAATGTAAGTTGCCAAGCGGCCCGGGCTTGCAAGCTAGAATTGGAAAGTATAAAAATAAAATAAAACTGAATAAATTTTACATGAAACAAGAAATATAATTCCTTTCGAGTGAATCTTTTCCTCGACTGCAAAAATATCAAAATTTTCAGAACAAACACAAACTGATCAAAATTTGTGCAAAAACCAG